TACTATATGTGTTTATCAGAAGGAATGAGTTTAATAGGTCAGTCCGTGGCTGTTTCGGTAAGTCGGCAGGACCCATCCTGCAGCACTGCAGTATGGGCGGGGCCGAGGCAGAAAGGTGGGATGTTCAGTGGGAGAGAGAAGGAGGGGAGGATGAAAACAAGGAGTTAGCTGGTAGTCAGCAGGACCATGCTGTCTTGTTTTCAATCTCGCTGGCTCCTCACTGCTTAGCAACAACGAATCAGATCGTCGAATCAGAGCTGCAGCCCAGCCAATCAGCCGTCGGGAGCGTGGCGCCATAGAGTTTGGATTTTACCACGTGTGAGATGATACGCGTTGGAGAGGAGGGCTCACTTATACAGGAGGAAAGAGAGAGAGAGGGTGATAGCAACGCTTTTAAAGTGTGTGTGTGTGTGTGTTTTATGCCTGTAGAAGTTGTTCTAAAACCACACCCTTTGCTCTCTGCTGCAGTGACCCTGCTGGATGTAAAGGTCGATTTTAAAGCACACTGCACATCTCAGACCTGTCACTCAAGTCCTCATTAGTCAGACTCCAGCTGCTGTGACAAAGACTCAAAACAATGACCACTCAACAGCTTCAGAGGACACTAATATAAACCTTTAAGTCTCGTCAGCGTGTGTCAAAGTGCAGATGTCGTCTTTATTGGGGGGAGTTTGTTTTCTTACGAACTCAGACATTTAATGTAGTCTAAAAGTAAGTGTTCATTTACATTAGACATTGTTATGCACTGATCGCAGCATGTTCATGTTTGCCAAAGGAAAAGACCTTGTTCTGGTTCCATGCTGTGCTGTGCAAACTGCCTGCAGGTCCTACAGCTTATCTTGCATTCAATTATGGGGTTACCACACTTGAAACCTTTTACCTGAAAGATTACAAAACATATTTGCTGTAAGGCTTCATTTGTTCTCAGTGTGACCAGTTTACGATTGTTTTCTTTGAACACATTTGTGATGAACTGAGTTATTCAGACTCTCAATAAGACACATGATCTGTAAGAATGTGCTGAAGGAATGCACTGGACTCTCTATCTCCTGCTGCTGCTGCTGCTGGTGCTGGGTGCGGCCCGGCTCAGAGCTGCATCCATAACTTTCTCCCCACGTGCTCCCCATGCTCTCGTATTTTTGTTCTGCCTCTCGGTGTCTGCGCGGCAGCACAACTCCACACTCCAGCGTGCATCCAGGCTACTCGCTGTTGCATGGTTACAGACACTTTTGCCCTGCTATTGGCTCCGAGTTTCTCAGAGCTTACCTCCCATTGGCTGAGCGAGGAGAAAAATAGTGCTTCCATTGGCTGCCAGGAAGTGAAAGGTTGTTGCGATTGGTCCGGCTCCACGGCTCCCTCTCCTTGGAGACTTGGCCTGTGTAAACATCCTGGTTGCTTCTTTCAATGGGCTGTGTTTACCAGCAGCTCGGTTCTGCCGGTGTGTGCAGACTGAGGCAGTGTCTCTGAGGAGCGGAGTCTGCTGAGAGCGAGGCTAATTGGCTCCCTGCTCCACCATACGCTCTGTGATTGAACAAGTACTCTGTACTATTATGATATTAGCATGACAGCATTACAGACAAGGACACTAACAACCCTCAGCCTCACTATTCTCCATCTTTCTCCCCATGCCCACGTCTTCTCCAGCGTCTCTCGGCCTGTGTCTGTCACAGTCTGCAGCAGCCCCACAGGCTACATGTTATCCCTTTGGTGGCGAGCAGAGCGGCGGCGTCTCGGGGCTCAGACGTGGAAAATAAATTGCCCCGAGTTCTAAATGGGCTGTTTGTTTTGTTTGAGTCGTTTTTATTGTTTGCTTTAGTACTATTTTTTAATAGCTATTCCCCTCCTCCACTTTTCGTTTTTTCCATTACTATCATGATACCTATCCCCATCCCAAACCCACTCTCCATGCCATCTTATCCTTTATCTGGAGTACAAAGAGTCCACAAAAGCCTTTGATCTCTGTTCTCAGAATGAAATTCTTCTATCTCTTTCATTCCGTGGAGTTGAACTCGATGCTCTCAGTGACTTCTTCCCCGTTTTTTTACATTCACAGCATGACTTACAGGGGGCGGGGCCAGCCCAGCGAAAGGCCGCCAAAGCTTCCACCCTCTCAGAGAGCTGACTGCTTAGCAACAACCAATCAGCCTAATATTTTTGGCAGGGTTTGTCATCCAATGGAGAGGGTGAGAGCGGGCTTTAGTGCTCTGTTTTCATTGGTGGCTGACAGGAAAAACAATGTTTTTCTTAGTGCTCTGCACTTCACTGCTATCGGCAAGGCTGGTATTGCTAAGAGCAGATTTGGGGAGATAATCTTGGCTTTGATAGGACTGAAAGACACATGGCTCATTACTGTTAAGAGTTGCTATTTGCATTTTTATGTAAACTCTCAGATCAGGTGAAACAACTTGCTGGTCCAGAACAGCACATGTAACTCCCTGTAACATAAAAGAACCCTTACTAAAATAGATTTTCCCCCTTTGAAACAATCAATTTGTGAGTTCTCTTAATTCTTTTACATCCTTGAACATGCTCCTTCCCCTTCATGAGTGAAGAGTGTTCGATATGTGAGATCAATAAGGGATTATAGCTAGTCAGTAGCAATTCACCTGCTCAATCCAAGTGATGGAAAACACACGGGGGGCAAATACACTCGGCTTGGATGGCAACTCTCACAGTGCCCGTAAAAAAAGATGATGGATGATGTCCATGTTTTATTTTTTCCCCACTTTTATCAGAGAATTAACAAGAATGTAACGGTGTCTCTCTCTTCCCTTGGCAACTGTTGTCTAGTTGCCCTCAAGGGAGGCAGTTAAAACCCCATATGCCCCTGTGGCCAACAGAGGGAAGCTGCTCTGGCCCCAGCTGTGTGTGTGTGTGTGTGTGTGTGTGTGTGTGTGTGTGTGTGTGTGTGTGTGTGTGTGTGTGTGTGTGTGTGTGTGTGTGTGTGTGTGTGTGTGTGTGTGTGTGTGTGTGTTGTGTGTGTGTGTGTGTTGTGTGTGTGTGTGTGTGTGTGTGTGTGTGTGTGTGTGTGTGTGTGTGTGTGTGTGTGTGTGTGTGTGTGTGTGTGTGTGTGTGTGTGTGGTGTGTGTGTGGTGTGTGTGGTGTGTGTGTGTGTGTGTGTGTGTGTGTGTGTGTGTGTGTGTGTGTGGGTGTGTGTGTGTGTGTGTGTGTGTGTGTGTGTGTGTGTGTGTGTGTGTGTGTGTGTGTGTGTGTGTGTGTGTGTGGTGTGTGTGTGTGTGTGTGTGTGTGTGTTAAATACAGCTAAAAGCCCCGTTGACAGCATCACTAGACAGATACAAATCAATAGTCAGGAGGCGGCCTCAGCTCATGATTGACAAGCAATGCGGCAGAACCCTAAGAGTAAGGCGAAGGGTGGGGCTGGATGTCTCCATCCCTTCCACTCAGACTTTAGCCTGGAGATACTAGACGAAAGGAAGAACTGCTAAGAAATCTTGCTGTGTGGGCAAATAAAAAACTCATTTGGAGCATTTGTACTTTACTAATCATGGAGAAAAAACCCTTTAGTAAGTAAATGTTTTTGTAGAGCTACATAATTAATGGGGTTAGGGGGTAAAATGTAAAAATTCCTCACCATAACAATTTCAATTTGCTCAGAAGTAAAGCGCACACTGGTGCTCTGAGAAATCTGCAGCCCATTCATCATCTCAAAGAAAAACACTTTCACTCCCTGCCTGTTATTTTTAGCTCCCCACTGTGTCTCTGCCAACAATTCCTCTGAATTAAATATATGCAAAATATTATTTTGACATAACATATGGTCCATGGAGGACTTAATGTGATTTTTGCCAGTGGTGGCCAAACATTTCCATTATATCCGACCAGGTTTTATTTGTGTTGTGCGTGAACTGTGAAAGTGAAATGATCCATCGCTCACTCGTTTTCAGCGCAGATATGGTTTTTCTCTGAGCTGTCATCTTGGGCACTCAAGCCAATATTTGTGAACACTTATTTTCTGCCAGTGTTAGCAGAAGCCAAGAAGAAAGCCAAGAATAATCAGAAATGTCACAGAATGATTCCATGGACTCTGAATAGAAAAGACAGGCTTTGTTTACACATCAGGTTTTACATGTGAGCCTAATTTTTACGTTGTAGTAACAATTTTAAGCATGGGAAAAGTATCCATGTCAAATCCCCCTGTGGACTCTTAACACTTGCTGCTACCATCTGTTCAGAGCGGCGTCAGTTTGCTCTTCTTCTACCCGAGGAGCACAAACCCCTTCCTGAAAAGAGGGGATTACAAGAAAAGCAAAAAAGAAAAGCATTGAATTTGTAATACTTGTAAAAACAAATAAAATCCACTTTCATCAGCTTTCTATTGAATTGTTTAGATTGTTTTTTTAAAATCATTCCCAGTGGTTTGAGTGCGCTTTCTGTGTTGAACTTCATCAGTTTTAGACCCTGCAAGATAACATTAAAAATAGTAAGATGTGCAGCGATTGACTGAGTATTTTATAAATTGAGTTTATCTATTTCTATTTCCCTAAACTCAGATATCAAGGTCCTTGTTACCTATGTCTCTTCATCCAACAGTTCAGTTATGGTACCCTGTGCAAATTACAGCATCAATGAACAGGGTGTTTTTTGGATGGATTCTTCTGTGGTTAACTAACAACAATCTCTGTCGTTATGGTAATACGTTTCTCCGTGTGCCTTGTCCCGTTGGATAATCCTCCGGTCTGGTCCGGTCCTTAATCAACATGCCACCCACACTGGCTGACAGGATGGGGTCTGTCATGGCACAGGTGTGCTATTGGCTGCAGTTGAGGGTCACCCTGAATTTAAACATGGTTGAGGAATAGAGAGAGAAAGACAACATCTGCAGCACCACTTAACTATTCATCACCCTTTACAGTCCGGTCTTTAAACAACTTAAATATATCATTGAGCTGAAAAGGATGTATTCCAGTATGTAAAGCTGCAATAATGGTAAACAAACTATTTTTGGAGAGTGTGCTGAAGTATTTGTGTTGTGTCCTCAGGTCTCTGGTCATCATCAGTACCCTGGACGGGCGGATCTCTGCTCTGGATCCTCACAACCAGGGCAGGAAGCAGTGGGACCTAGATGTCGCCTCAGGGTGCCTTGTATCATCCAGCATCAGCAAGCCTGAGGTAGATCAAACTTTAATGCACACATTTGCAAGTTGTCCTTTTGTGTCCAGCAGCAACGATCACAAGATTAATACTTAAAATAAAGTTGTGCGGTCCTCCTATGAATACAAATGCATTTCACTTTAATATAAATGACTGAGTCAACCACAGTCTGTTCCGCAGGTCAAACAGACATGGTTCAGCTGATTAAGACCCAGCACCACTAGATGAAAAAGACCATTTCCAGAGTCTTGACATTCGATTGTGAGGTTAAGGATGCGGTCTCATCTGAGTCTGCCTCAAAACAAACCCTGTCCCCCCTGGCTGTCTTTCTGTAGGACCAACAATTGAACTCGGTGCACTTTGAAAAGTCAACCAAGGGTTTCTGTTGCTTACATTCGTTTCATTTAGATACATGGCAGACATACTGCACACCCCCACATGAATCTGAGCGTGGTTGTTCTGCCTGGAGGATAAGCCTCTTTGTTGACTGTAGTGGTTTACACACACACACGCACACCAAGCCCCTCGTCTGTACATGTATACAGAAGCTTAAACCGCCCACACCGACATGCTGAAGGCGCCCAGAGCACTGCTCTCTGAGATGCATACGAGAGACGTGCCTGTGCTGTACTTTGATGTGGACTATGTGACAGTTCTGCCTCAGGGAGAAAGCCTCTGATAATAACAAGGGTCTGGGAGGCTGCTGTGATCAGTTTTAATGTTGGTCCGCGGTGCTGGTGAGGCGTGTTGGAGCGTAGTGAACTCTCTGGCTCTGTCAGTTAAATACGTTTCTGCTTTATCAGTGCGGTACAACAATAGAAAACATATCTTAGCCAGTCCATGAAGCTTAATACCTTTTGACAGGTGGGTTTTCCCCAAAATCAAGACTGGTTCGAAGGATTTGTTTGGATTTGTTTCCCACAGATGTAGATTGATTGTTTCAATCAATTGGTGCTGGGTAACACAGACATCAGACTGTTTGATTGACAGATCCTGGGATGTAGAAATTCAATAAGAACAAAAAAAAGAGCGCTTGACTTTAGAAAGTAGCATTATACACGTGTTTATAATGAAAGAACAAAATAAGCTCTTTCATCTGATCCAAGGCAATCTAAATATAGTCACTTCAGGGTTACTCACTATAGAACAATCTCCATTAAGTGTTTAGAATCTCCCATAGAAGTGGGTGAATGGGTTCTCAAGTGTGTGCCATTCAGCCTGAACATGTGTTTTCAGCCCTGCTCTACACTACAGCAGCAACGCTCCCTATTCAGCACACTTGCAATTAGAAGGAGGGAATCACTGACATCAGCTGCTGCCGTGTGGGATAGAATAAAAACAAATCTCGCTTCATGATTCCAGATGGGTGAGAAGGGTTATGTTTAAGATTTAGAAATAGGAATTCATTAACTTTTTTTTTTCCTAGACTCCTCAGAGGTTATGCTGGGGAGAACCCCGTAAGGTGCCTTGAAGCACTGGAAGTGAATAGAGCAGAAACTCTGACAGCAAGTATAGCTTCTCCATGATGTATTGAAATGTAAATTTGACCTTGAATTTAGAGTTGCACCCCGCTATGATGGATTTCCAGATATCACACTTATTATATGTAAACTGCAGGCTCTCATGCTGTCAGTGGAAGGATAACACAATTCTCTGTAGTCTGATTAAAGTCTGCAATCAACTTTTGATCACCGAGTAAAATATAAGGCTGTTTTTCTGAAAAAAAGTGACTTCAAAGTGTATTTTTTCAGTTTTCATTTATATTCTCAATAAGAAATGTGATTATGACAAATCAAAAGAACATGGACACATGCAGATTTGTTTTATGATAGCAAGCAGAAATGTAGAAAGTAAAAAATATCAGTAAAAACAAACCTTTCTGATTGAATGAAAAGTTAAAGCTACAGTTATGACACCACTGAACAAAGTCGTAAGTATGTTTTCTAAATAGCAAAAACGATTCCGTTTCAAAAGTAAATGAGTACATTTTCTCATATAGTTTTCTCACTGCAAATGTTTGTCTTAAAAAAGTCAGCATCTGGAAGGAATTGAATTTAAAAAATAAATAAATAATAATAATAATTTTTGGAGGAATTTACTATAAAAAACATGGTCCAACAGTTATTTTGTTATGCTAATGAAGATCTCCTTTTTGGTTTACTTTGTAGCACAATGTCCTTACAAGAAAATATAACACGAGAAAGTAGAAACAACTAGATAAAAAAAAAACGAGTAAAAGATGTTTACAAAGTATTTCTATGTCCCTGCTTGGCACATCATGCTTTATATAGTCTCTGAGGACATTACTGTGTTTTCCTCTCCTTTACATGTGTGCTCAGTGTCAGACTTCACAAGAGCGTCAAAATGTTCATCACCAGACACACATGTAACATCCTCCCGTCATCCTCCAGTGTGCTCGTGTTGTGACAGAGGATGCTGACTGTGTGGGTATGTGTCATTATGTGTGTGTTTCAGTTTTCATTTTCACCTGTTAGCTTTCATTTGGTTGACGGAGCGAAACGAGGAGAGATGCCTGTCAGCTCTGAACCCGGTGACTCGCCGTGACGTCACTTGTTATGATCCCCAGACTGTGTGTGTGTGTTTGTGTGTGATTTCTATGCTCATTTACTTTATATAAGTTCAATTTAGCTTTGCCCTATCTGCCCTCCGTATCCTGGAATGCACGTCTGGTGTAAATGTGTGATGGTGGCGGGGAGGGGGGGGTGACCGCCACTAGCTACTACTCCCCCTCCCACGCCTCCTCAGCGCCTGGCAACTGTTTCATTGGTTCACGCCGGGTCCCTGAGACACCAGTCTGCTCGGTGATTAGAGGCTAGGGGGGGTCTGACGGCGTGCCATTGGCTGGCCTCGACGCGCCGGGGAGGAAGCAGCCAGTCACCTGCTGCATCCTACCAAGTGTGTTAGTGTGTTGTCTTTTTGAGAAATGAGGGACAGCAGATCCACAAACAGCATTGTCTGCAGAAAAAAAAGCCATCACTACAAAAAGCAAGGATCCGCTCCGGGGGTTAGAGTGGGGGGAGTCTGTGCCAACGTGGAGTGAGTCATGCCGGCGGGGGGGGGTAGGTTGGGTGGGGGGGTTAGAGGGATGAAGAAAGAAGGGGGGAGGCAGGGTGATTAGGGGAGGTGAGGTAATGCCTCAGACCAGAGATGATGTCATCACACAGCAGACAATACACACACATGCTTACCTCTGCTGGCATGCCGTGTGAATGAATGAACGATGAGAGAATTCCATTGACCACGACACAATGACTTACGATCAATAGCCGGGCTGTGAATAATGTACCAAGCAATAATTCTTCCAGCGCGGAGAAAGGAAATTAAAAAGGTCAGACGGGTGATATTTTTTGGCACAAAGTCGAACTGTTATTCCGGCTTCTCTGATTTTATTTTTATAGGGCTTTTTTGTGTTTTTTCTGTTATTTTCCAACCACCAGCATCACCATCTCTCTTTCTGTCTCCTGCTCTCACTCTGTCTGCCACCTTTAAGTAGAGCAGTAGCCTTGTGGGCCAACAGTGCCACATTTGCGGCGGGTGATAGCTGACACTGTTTGACAGCAACACACACAGACACACCACCGCCAGACCACTCTCTGACCCTACACCCCCACAATTCCCAAGAGTTAGATACAACCACAAAATAACTAATATCAAATGCTCATTAAGCTCTCCAGCACACTTGGATTACTTAGGATGAATACCTCCATTAAACTGTATACTATTAAATATAGATAAACCAATAATCCTCATAGCTGCGAAGTGTAAAATCACACATGTTAAAAAGGAACCTGACCTTACACAATGAAAACACCCTGCATGCTCCCGACATGGGTACAAATAACCGAATGGCTCTGTTCTCAGTTTGATAGTGGATCTCTTCGTAAAGAGGGGCATGGATCCACACATTGAAAAAAGGAAAGAGGGTAAGACTTGACTGAGTTAAAGCTCTTAAAAAATGAATAGACATTGGCAATTCAAAGAAAGAGCAAACTGGTTTTGCTCAGCAGTCAGTTTATTTGAATAATTTAGAATATTATTTTAAGTGATAAACTCTTTAGAATGTTATATTGTTCTCAAAAATGTAAGCCGGTTTTCTTTAACAAAAACATTATTGTGCTTTTCAAGATCTACCAAAAGTATGACACCTACACAAACCCTTTAAAAACAAAACAAGAACGAGGGTAAACACACACTTGATGAAAACAAATGAGACAAAGAGATAGAGGAGGGGTGGGACGTTGATTATAATTTCATTCACAGCTCATCAAAGGATACCTTTTATATGCTTTGATGGGGTTGTTTTCATATGAGCAAGAAAGGGTTTACAAAAATAAGTAATTTAGCTGAAACCTAGATTTTTCTGTGATGCTATGAAGCCACACATTTAAAATAACATACTTATAGATTTACATTTTAATGAACTGCATGTAATGGCTAGGGGGATTTCTATATGCTTTATTTTAATTGGTAAATAACATATTGGGGCAAGTGGAAAATAATTGGCATCTCACAATATTTAACTGAAGAAGTCATCACTGTCTTATCTTTACTTGGCCACTTTCAATCGCTTACCTTAAGTGCCTTTGATGACATTCATAAAGACCGGCGGTTACTCTATGATTCAAGAGCTGTCACTATATGTCAAAGCAATTTCAGATATTTTTGACAGCTCTTAAATACCACATGCCACAGCTCAATAGACTCCTATTACACTGTGAAGAGTTCCCATAGATTTCCCTGCTAACTTAGTCATAACAAAGAAAATATTACAAATTAATCAAAAATGCCTGCCTGACTTCAAATATGTGATGTGACGGTAATGATGTAGTGCGCTCAAAAAAAAATCTACTTTACTAAATCTAATTCGCTTTTGAGAAATGATGTTGTGTTTTTTTCTTAGTTACACTATGCTGATCTAGAGATTTTGAAGGGCATCACGATGTCCGTGCAGAAATCAGTGGAATTGAACATTGGCGGTACATATGTCTGGGGACGTGGTGTGGATGGTTAAAGGAGCAGCTGACAGAAGGGATGCTGGGTAACTGGTGCTGGATCAGAGTCATGGATTAAGGCATCAGGAGCAGGATGACTCACCCACAGCTTTGAGAAGTTCCCCTCTGCTGTAAACCTCTTTGCTCCCCCACAGCCAACCAGCATGGTGTGATGTGATGGTCAGACTGTCAACCCCTCCTCCTTTCACTTGCTAAATTTATCCTCCTCTTGTCTCCAAACCACCACCCCCCCTCCCCTCTAAAACGATGACATCACCTCTGCTCTCCTAATAAATCATTCTGCCACATTTCTCCTTCCTGGCATTTTTTAATCCACCACAAAGCAACTATACTTTCAGGCTCTGATAGGATGTCTGAAACAAGGTGCTTTACAGGTCGCTGCTTTGACACCATCAGCATCTTTTGAAAGTATTAACAATACAATGGATTACATAACTACTTAAAAAATATATAATGTTGTCCCATAAATATTTCGGATAAATGTTGTAATTGTCGTTTTTTATATAATATTCAAAGCCTCTGTTATAATGATAAAATAATAGAAGAAAAAATGCAAGTTCACCCTTTTTTAAGAAGCAATGAATATTCTTAACAATCAAATTAAGACAATACAAAAGAAAACCTGATAGTGTTAACCTAGTTGCCTAATAAACTATCGTGCAAAGCCAACAAGGATTCACTTATATATCAAATTCCACTTTTAGGTCACTGAGCATCTTGTTGACAACAATGAGTCACAACTTGATCTCTGACAGTCTGTAATTGTTCGCAGACAAACGAAAGCTGTGAAGGTTGAATCGGGATTAGGCTCAGCTTTTTGCAATGATGTCATCCTCGCTGCCCCCCTGCCGTGAGCGACTGATAGTACACCCAGAAACACACACACACACACACTCCAAGGTTTTTTTAATACCCAGGTTAATTACTTAGGCTCTTAGATGTGTAATGGTCTAAAGGAGGCTAAAGCTGCTGCTTTGTGGTCCGATGTGTGTCGGACACTGTTGTGTGTGTGTGTGGGTAAGATTTGTGCTTTTAACGATGTCTGTGCCAAAAAAAACGACTTTTTGAAACTGTTTAAATATTCCAGGAGGTTTGGTGTGTGTTTAAAAAACATTGCATCAGACCAAAGTAATACATGGAAAGTCGGGATGCACTGTATTAGTTTATTTTATTGTCATTACAATGTAAACTTGCAAAAATAAACACAGTTAGTCATGAGATTACATTTTGCTAACCTCCTTTTTTATTGGTTCCTTTTGTGTTCAGCTAAACTTGCAAACAATTGGCAATTGTTTTATCATTTATTTGAAGCAAACAAGCATGGTGTTGCAATTAAGCAGAATACTGAAAAAAATTCATGCCAGATTTAGCTGGGGAAGAGGGTCCATGGTTCGACCCACTTGACCCTGCACATGCCTTTGTTTTTAAATGTTTTATAACCAAGATGCACATTAAAAAAATCTTGGCATGTTGAACGTCAATCTACCAAATCCGTACCATTTCTTCTGTCAATGCTAATTGCTTTTCCAGCGCATAAACATCAACTCATTTTTGACACGTCAGTAACCAACTCTTAAAATCCCACCTGTTTGTCCCTGCAGGTGTTTGGCAATAAGATGATCATCCCTTCACTGGACGGTGCCTTGTTCCAGTGGAACCGGGACAGGGAGAGTATGGAGTCCGTGCCTTTCAGCGTGGAGTCCCTGCTGGATTCATCTTACCGGATCGGGGAGGATACCGTCCTGGTAGGGGGCAAATCTCTCACCACCTATGGCCTGGGGGCCTACAGTGGCAAGGTCAGTGAAATGACTTTAATTAAAGCTTGTGCTACGTGCATTTTAGATAATTTAATGATATCTTACTAACATTGTGAGTTATAGTAAACAATGTGTCCTTACCCATTATAATAACCCCCCTCATGTTTTTTGCCTCAGCTCCGGTACATCTGCTCTGCGGTGGGTTGCAGTCGCTGGGGGGAGGAGGAGATGCTGAGCGAAGACGTGCTCCTCCTGCAGCGCACTCAAAAGACTGTGCGAGCCATCAGGCCCCGATCAGGGATGGAGAAGTGAGTTTTATTCAATCAGCCAATCAGCCAATCAGCCTGTCACTGTCAGTCAGGGAATGTGACAGCAGATACTGTGTCCTGCGTGCTACTCCACAAAGGGAAACAGGCACCCCCTTGACTTTCTGTCAAAGGTCTTAAATAAAGTCAGTTAACCTTTTATCCACTGGAAGTTTTTTTTCCTGTTGCTTTACCACACTGACCAGATAGTTATGATATTATTCAATCTAGTTTCCTCTATTTCACACCAATTTGAAATCTGAACATGAAGTATTATACTTTATTTTTTTGACACTATTTCTACCATCTGCCTCTCAGCAGGCTGTGGCTAATTGAATATATTGCTTTTGTTTACATTGTCGTGTTTTAAACTATATAAAGTGACTATTTAGACCAATACTGTATATTTAAACACATTTTTCTGCATTATTATTATTCACTGGTACCAGTAGATTTGTCTGCTCTCTCTTCTCATAGCAAGTTGATATACCACCACTTTTGATCTTTAAATAAAACATTTCATGCCCTCAATGTTGCATCAATATGGAATCACTAATGGTATCAAATATAGATATTTAAGGTGTTATTTAATTTGTTTATTAAGTTGTGTACTATCACTGCTTATCCCAGGTGGAACTTCAGCGTTGGAAACTTTGAGCTGAAGCTCCTCCCTGAGACGTCTGGGATGAACTTCCTGGAGGGAGAGGTTGCTAGTGGCGACTGGAGGGAGAGTCAGCGAGTCATCACCGATGAACCAAAAGAGAGAGAGCAGACGAAGAACCAGCAGAACCAAAATCTGGACGTCGTCATCAAAGTGTCTGTTCCTGATTGGAAGGTCATGGCCTTCAGCACGGAGCCTGACGGACAGCTGGTCTGGGAACGTCAGGTGAGAGGAACACCTCTTCATCTGGGTTCAGTGCCATTTAAACTAGGCTTGTGGTTTATTTGCTCAAAATAAGTTAAATGTTGTACTTAATCAACTCTGCATCCCCTGTGTCCCGTAGTTCTGCACACCCATCGCTTCTGCTTGGCTGGTGGGCGGGGGTAAAGTCACACCCATCGCCCTGTTTGACGACAACGCCTACAGCAGCCAGTCGGAAATGGATGAGGACCAGGATGAGGAGGCAAAGAGGGCAAGAGGAGATGAAGAGTCCAGTGTTTACCTTGGTAAATGCATACACTGCATGCTTGTGCTTATTCCTAATGTGTGGTTGCAATATTTCCTATTTATGTGACAGTTGTTTATGATTAAGTACAATTCCTTTGCATTTGTTTCCTCAGGAATGTACCAGGGACAGCTTTACCTCCAGTCCTCAGTGAGGATCAGTGAAAAGTTCCCTTCCAAAGCTATCGGATCGGACATCATTCCACTACCCACGGTCAAGTGGAAGCCTCTCATCCGTAAGTAAACCTCCTTTTGCATAAGTATTGGCTCAATTCAGTTTGTATGGGCAACTTTTAGATTGAGAAAGTCCCCAAACACTGGTTTTATTATTTGTCTTTCAACACATAGTGATGCTATGTCTTGTTTACAAGAAATCTTTGAATAAATTATTAGTGTTTTCATCATTTCCCTTCATGTATGACTATCCTGCGATTATTAGTCTGACCTTTTGAGAACTTATTCATGTTGTCCTTGACACAGATTCCCCATCACGGACACCAGCCCTGGTCGGCTCTGATGAATTCGACAAGTGTCTGAATAATGACAAGTTCTCCCATGAAGAATACAGCAACGGAGCCCTGTCCATCCTTCAGTATCCATATGGTAAGAGCCTAATACTGTAAAAGAACACATTAAAGTCTCAAACACAAAGACATACTGTATTGGCACCTAAAAAAGTGAATTGGATGAGAGGGACAAAGTGAAGAAGATCCAACTTATTCTGACTTTGCCTCTCTGTAGATAACGGTTACTACTTCCCCTACACCAAGCGTTACCGGGGGAAACGTGACAGTGCCATAATCATTATAAATAAAGACGGGGCGGGAGGAGAGAGTCGTAGGAGGAAGGACCCCGTGCTGCTGCTGCCATGGTGGAAGGAGATCCTCGGCACCATCATCTTATGCATCGCCACCACCACTTATATCGTCCGAAAATTCTTCCACCCCCCCGCCCCGGTGGCCTATGTGAGGGTAAGACCACAGACACAGCCTGCACGAGACCCACATACAGACAGTGACTGCTGCTGGTTGTTCTTAGGTTGTCATGTAATGTTAATGTTAGACACAGTAGGCAACCATTTTAACCAGTGTGGAGTATTACAAACAGCTTACACATATGAGACCACGCATGATGATTAGAGAAGCAAAGATGCACAAACAATTTTGTAACTTTTCTTTAATTGAAAATTGAATTTCAAAAGTATGATGATAAAAAAAATGTACTCATACATTTGATTTTCTTCTCTGACTCAAACGAATCTCAAAATAAAAGTGCTTCAGGTTACTGCACTTGTAAAATCTTTAAAGATTTGTGATCATGATTGTAATTCGGTAAGGATAATGGCTTCCTGATGGGGAAATATTTGCACAACTAGTCAAAGAGAGATTATTGTTTCTTTCATCGACAACTAGTTAACATATTGTGTCCTTCCTGTCCTGCTTCTGCCCCTAAAAAGCAACGTAAGGAGTCGGAGACGCAGTGCCAGACCGACTGCAAGTTTGACCTTGATGTTGTGGAATCCAAAGAGCCGGTTGCTATGGAGACCCGTTCCAGCGAATATGTGTCCAGGTAAATCATCAACACGCTGCGATGCTGAAAGAAACCCCACATGTAAATACATGTTTCTATCATGACTCAGGAGAATGTGACAAAACCCTACTACTGTGCAGAGGAACTGATATCCTCACGCTTTAAAGTTACTCACTCTAACAAGGTAAGACTGGGCACTGTTACCATGGTGACCACCGGTCTTCCAGGCAGAGATCGGAGATAGGAGTTGTAGTTGAGCATGATTGGATAACTCAGCTGTTTGCCATCAAATGAAAATGACCTTGGCCCCCGCAGACCCCACCCAGCAGCATCTGCCACAGGGCCGGTGTCACTTTACATCACTGTCAGCACATTGTCAGAAGTTTTTGTTTGTTATTTTGGACACCCCAGATATGATCAGTAGCCGTTATTTATGGACTGTCACTGACCTCCTGTCGAGTGATCGATGGAGTTTGCATGTTTACAATCTTTAGCTGAAATTCTGCTCTAAACGCAAGAAAGAATCTGATTAAACTGCTTTTTCCCCCTGCTGTTGTCAACACCTGCACATCGTTTCATTTGATCCACCCCAAAATGACAAACACTCACCCTCCCCTTTCCTGCAGCTGAAATAAATGCAAATGTCTCTCGCCAAAGAAGTTTCCCAAAATAGAAGTGAAGCTGTTGCAGCAGCTGAGGCAGCCGTGAGTCAGGATCGTCAGGCTGGAGATAGAGATCAGGAACCACGGCCTGAATCACATATGTTCTAATAAGACAGCCCTCAATCCCCAGAGGAGCCCGAGGAGGGAGGCTGAGACAGTTTGTAGAGCAGCAGTTCCCAAACCTTATTTTAGACCACGGCATCCCGAGACAACTAACCTCAATATAACATGCTTACAGTACAACAATGCTCATAAAAATACTTTAAACCTTCATTAAATGCATGTACAAAATATGAGTAAATGGAATTGATAAAACCAAACTCATCTTCTCCAGGGCTAAGCCCAGCAGTGCATTAGTTACACTGCAGCAGCTATAGAGCCATTGTTGTAGCCCATTCTTTAAGTGGTGCTTTTTCTTCCAATGTCTCAGTAGTGTCCGTCTAGCTGTTAAATAAAAAACAATCCATCTTTTCAAAAGGAGGAACTGAGGATGAATGGTTTTCCACAGACGTTTTTACATAAGAGTTTTTTTTTGTGGTGAAGAATTATAAAAAAACTCGCAAACCATGTTTATTAAAAAATGTAAAAAAAATTAATACATAATAATAAATAAAAAATTGTTTGGTTAATACTCAAATCATCTTCCCTCCATTTTTGCAAGCTTTGTAAGTCTATTAATCTTTTAAGTTATTTTGTTTTTAATAGTGACGGGCATGTGTTTTTCTGTCAGCACTGCAATTTTTTTGAATTGGTTAAACTGTTGGTTACCTGCCAGCCTTTACAGGGATTTGGCTGGTATTAATTCCTTCCCTTTTAATAAATAGCCTGTTACCACTAAATAAGCCTCCGTGACCGCAGTGAATTGTATTTGACCAGGTCTTTTGAATTGTCAGGAATGTAGGTGATGACGCAGCTGCTTTCTTTCACCTGGATCAGAGTGATTCTTCAATGCCCATTAACAACCAAAGTGTCTTCTCCCCAGGTACCTGACTGATTTTGAGCCGGTGCAGTGCCTTGGCCGCGGGGGGTTCGGCGTTGTGTTTGAAGCCCGCAACCAAGTGGACGACTGCAACTACGCCATCAAAAGAATCCGTCTGCCCAACAGGTAGCGCCTCTCGCCGGTTACCACAGACCTCCCCGCTGCAGGCTATTAGCTCTTCCTTTATCTCTCTGTTCTTTAAAGCCCTTACACTGAGTTATGTAAGCGGAAACCTGCTTATCCACACACAGAGGCACTGACACTTCAGTATAAATATTAGCCATGCATTTATATTTAAACTGACAAGCGTGAAAATGTAGTGTTTTAGCCACAGCAGCTCTGTATTTATTTACATTTTAGCCCTTTTTTGACTGGAACATAAAGCATATCACTTTTTTTGTATTCCCATTGTTTTTGTTGATATCTTTATTGAGCCTTTTGGAATTAATACTGTTAAAGTGAGTTAGTGTGATGCAACAATTCCACATTGTTCCCACACACAAATCCTAAAAATGTTGAACTCCTAAACAATAAGGTGTCCTAAATGTGAATGAAACTCTGAATCTGAGTCTTCGTCACACAGGGAGCTGGCCCGTGAGAAGGTGATGCGAGAGGTGAAGGCCTTGGCCAAGCTGGAGCACCCGGGGATTATCCGGTACTTCAACGCCTGGCAGGAGAGCCCACCCGAGGGCTGGCAGGAGGAGATGGACCAGAGGTGGCTGAAGGATGCCAGGTAAGCCGGCGCTCTTAAACATTTTATCCTGTACGGTTCAGCGGGGCTAACATGGACAGATGAGGTGAGGTCAGCCATTAGTGATCTGGTGGTCATAGCTAGAAACGCCGTCACATGGTTAATGCAGTTAGGACCAGGTCATACAAATGATATTTCTGATTGATAGCAGATGGGATGTAGCTGGTTGAAATAATAAATCCTTAAGGATAAATATGTTCATTAAAATCTTTAGATCTAAATATATTTTATTTAGTGAGAAATATATGAAAAAATAATTGTTTAAATTAATTAAAGTCTACTTTAGCGTGATATCTCATCACAATATGGATCTTTAAATTGGACAAATAATGACTCCAGGTGGGTGGGGGGATGGGTGATTTATTTGGATGACGTTGGAGGCGATCTGCTCATCTCTTAGAATAATGGCATTTCTGACACACCACAAACTTCACATCGACTTGACATCGTCTCACGTCACTTGCGTATAATCCCCTGGCAACAGATGTTGCATTAAAAATGCATATTCGCACAAGAATGTTTGCAGCACTTAAAGTCTTGCTGTCTTCAACCCTTTTATTTAACTTTATTTGGGATGATTGTTGCCAAAAGAGGCACTAGGTGAATTGAGCTTGGGACAATTTGTCGCAAGAGATCCCCTCTGACTTCTATAAAGACATTGGTAGCCCAAAAACATCTGGATTAGTATTTTACAAACTGTTGTGTTATTTTAAAGCAGAGTTCATTTGAATGACATGATGGTAGTAACCCCACAACAACAACAACAACCCTCCTTTCTCTCTCAGCACCACTGACTGGCCAATGAGCTTTGTTGACCACATGGAGGTGCTGTCGGTCAAAGTCCCGGTGTCCAGCTCCGTGTCTCCGGTCCCGGGCCCTGCAGGAGACGCTTTGGAGGTCTCTTCCTCTCAGGCCATGCTCTCCAGCAGCACCGATGACGGAGACCTGTCCTTCCACCCGATGCTGGGACACGACACCCTGACGTCGGAGAGGGACAGCCAGGCCGACCCCGACGCCTCGGACACCCCCAACTCCTTCGAGCTGTGTCCCCCCCGAGGCCCCAGCGACTGCACCTCTTCCTCCTTCGACATCGTGTTCGAGGACTCGGGATGCGACCGAGATGCCGACGCAGAGACGGACTCGGTTTCCGGTGCAGCCAGTCGGAGTACGACGACGGAGAAAAACAGCTCGTCTTCATCACACACCAGGAACCAGCAGGAATCTGTCCCCACCACCTCTTCCTCTCCCCCCCGGCCAACATCACTCACCCTGGCTCTCCCCACAACACCTCCAGCCCCCCGGCCCCAGCCCTCTCCCAAGGTCAGTCAGTCATTCACTCAATCAGCTGTTATACAGTGGTGTCACAATCTTATGTTCATTATGACTGACCCTTCATTATTAATATGAATCAATACTATTGTACACGCAGGAATACTAGTTACAAGTATTCTTTATCTCAAGGAGAATGTTTTCTTTTTACCAATTTTAAAGATAAATAATGGTAGCTGCTGATGTTGATGTGTTTTGTGCAAATTAGCAATGACACATTAGTAAGAGTATTCATTATTAAACAGACATTTTCATAATTAAAACAAATATCAGCCTTTTTGCTCAAAATCGTACCAGCTATCATTTGGGACAAACAACTTCATCTACATTATCCTAATAAGGAAAAAACAACTCATGATGTTGGCCTGAGATGATTATAGTTCTGAATGATTGACACACTCCTTTTATGTAGTACTGAAACCTTGTGGCCCTGTCTCCAGGTGTACCTGTACATCCAGATGCAGCTCTGCAGGAAGGAGAACCTGAAGGACTGGATGGCTCAGCGCTGCCTCCCGGAGCAGAGGGAGCACAACCAGTGTCTGGACATCTTCCTCCAGATCGCTGAGGCTGTCGACTTCCTGCACAGCAAGGGGCTCATGCACAGAGACCTCAAGGTGAACACACACACACGCACACCTCACACAGTCCACTATACAGGCATAAGTCTATATGTATAAGAGCAGTTCAATAACATGTGTTGAATCTGCTTTAAAAACATTTTAAATCTTCTTAAAACAAAGTAATAGCACCATGAATATTGTTGAGTGACTGACGGTGTGTACTGCTCCATGCATTAGTAATGCTTTCTGCCTTCATGTTTAATGTTTGGTACATCTTGCATAACCTGTCGTCCCCATGGTTTCTCCAGCCCTCCAACATCTTCTTCACTCTGGACGACGTGGTGAAGGTGGGAGACTTCGGCCTGGTGACGGCCATGGACCAGGAGGAAGACGAGGACGAGCCAAGCGCCCTGACGCCGGCCCCGCTCCTGACCCGGCACACGGGCCAGGTCGGCACCAAGCTGTACATGAGCCCAGAACAGGTGAGCAAAGACAAGACTATGTGCGTACATAGCTTCATCTTGGAAACATTTAATGAGGCCACAGTGGGCCAGTGGATCAGGGAGATGTCTTCCTTCCTCTCTTTGGAGAAAATGACATACATTTTTAATGGAAAACAAGAGGCCTTTCATTTTATTTGGGATCCTATTATGCATTTTATGATAGCATTTAACTGTGAGGAAAAACCATTGCACTATTACCATTACCATTATGTGTTTGTATTTGTATAAACTGAAACTTGAATTTAATTATTATCATGTCAGTCGATTTGTTTTGTATTTAACTATTTAGTTTTGTCATGTTGTTTTTGCTTGTCTTTCAATCTGAAAATGAAAAAAGACAACAGCAAAAAAAGCTAAATAAGTTTCTTGCCTCTTCGAGACTTTACATCTCATATTGCATATTTTTCCTTTTTGTCCCGGCAGCTATCTGGAAACTCGTACTCTCACAAAGTGGACATTTACTCTCTGGGTCTGATCCTGTTTGAGCTGCTGTATCCCTTCAGGACCCAGATGGAGAGAGTAAGGGTGAGTCACAAACACGCGGCACATAATTACGTCCTAATTTTACTTCACTTTCTTCTCCTCGTATTTCGCTAAAAGGCTTGTAACTCCAAGCAAATTAGTGCTTTAGTCCATTTAAATCTATTTCTTTGTGTTTGTATTTGCCTGTCTAATACAGGGTTGCAAATTGGTTTGTGAAGCATTAACTCAATGAAAATCACATTAATAACAACAAAAGGCTTTGTAGGCAAAGCAAGACACACCAAAGGGAGGTCTGAACTGACAACGGGGTCATTAAACAAAAGCAAGTGTGTTTCTTGTATACATTTGTGTTGTAAGTAATATTTACCCAAACTGAGTTTAAAATAGAGAAGCAATTAAAATGACCAAACTGACAGCAAATATAAAAGGATATCATCCAATTTTTGACTTCAGTAGAATCCCCGCTGCTGCTATTTGTTTATCTGGAGAAGAGGGAGGCTTCCTAATGAGGCAGTTTATCTTTCTGTCTGCTCCTTATCCCGTTAATTATTCTGTATCGTCTGAGAAATCTGTTGGGGAAACTGTAACACATAATCACTGTTGTCATTTGAATGATCTTTGTTGTCGGTATAAATGGTTTCTTTGCCCTTGTGTGTGCCATCGACCGGGACTTCTTTGTCTCGCTAACAAAGGCTCTGATTATCTGCCGGCGCAGCTCCACTCACAGGTGTTTACCTCCTTTCTTCCAGACGCTGACAGAGGTGCGAGCCCTGCGCTTCCCTGATGTCTTCTCCAAAAACAACGTGCAGGAGGTGAGTGGCCGACTGCTGCCATCTAGTGGCGGAAAACACAAACTACTTGTGAATCTGGAAAATAAACTGTTGTGATCATTATCTGACAACAAGCTATGTACATGAACAAAGTGGCACACATCCAGGACTGTGAGAGTTAATGTTCATTATATGGGCTGTTCAAATGACCTTTACTCACCAACATTATCCACTTTGTGATTCAAATCTGCTGAGCTAATCCAATTAGGAGGTGTAGTTGGATTATTCCGCTCCTTCATTTACACAATATCAAGTTAAATATGTTAATATCTCATTTTACAATCTGAGGCAGTTGTATCAACATGATTTGTGAATCAAATATATATCCACAAACCCATTATCACTTGTTTATCCGTAACTATGTTCAAATGACATAAATATGTTCCTTACTACCACACCAGGCCCCGGCCTACTGCTTGGTGAAGGGTTGGTCTCTTTACCTTCTACCCCGGTTTACTGTGTAATGAGATTAACATAATCCCATAGCATTATCTAACACTGGACATACCCTCGCCCTGTTATCCCAGTATCCACCTTTACCTGTTGTGAGCTATTATTAGACGTCCTGTGTGTGAGTGCATATTTTTGTGTGTGTGTCTGTTAGGGATATGACGATTGAGGATTTGATCACAGATCGCATAAAAACCCGCAAAAAATTGACCTTGGTGCCAGGGGCGGATCTAGACAAATATTCATGGGATGGCAAGAGGGTGGCAGGAGATTTTGAGGGGTGGCATCCCCTGACAGAAGTATATGCTGATTTAAATCGCAATCATATCAATAGGCGCATTCACACTGCGGTACTTTTCCCACAAAGGTTCATGTGAACTCTTTAGTTCGCATGAACTAAGTACAGATCGCGTTCACACTGGAAAAAGTCCCTGGGGGCGGATTAGGCAAATGAAGCCGCTGACGTCACTTCTTCTTCTTCTGCTTTGGGCTTACTGGCAGGCCGCAAACCACTTCACGGCGTATACTTCCGCCCAAAGTCCCCGGAGTTGGGGACTGGCTTCAGTAGAAGCTGCTGGGACTCCCAGCAGCTTCTACTGAAGCCTTCCGAGTAAATCGCCCAGAACGCCGACACCTCCTCATCTCCACCGTTCCACCGCTCCCATGTTTTATTTTGTGTTGCCATAGTCTCTCTGCGTTTCTGCGCTGGGCTAATGCTAATAATGCTAATGCGAGGATAATAAAATGGCGGCTTCACAAAACTTTTTGGGAGTTTTACGGGGCGTGGTTTGCAATCCGCCCAGCCAATCAGAAATATAGCTCTTTTCTCACAAGAGAGCCGCACGAAAGTCCCTGCTCTCTAGCAGCTCTCTGCTCTCTAGCAGGGACTTTCGTGGGGGTAAAAAGGTTCACATGAACTAATTTTAGTACCGGCTCTTTTTGGTGTGAATGCGATAAAAGAGTTCACATGAACTAAGTTCACATGAACCTTTGTGGGAAAAGTACCGCAGTGTGAATGCGCCTAATCAATTAGGGGTGTAACGGTACACGTACCCGTACTGAAATTATTCGGTACGGGCCCTTCGGTTCGGTACACGTGTGTACCGAACGAATATAGCGTTAAACGTAAAAAATTGAGAACATGAACAACTTTCTGGAAGTAATCTATATCATAGAGCGACCAAGTCATTTCATTGGACGAGAGGCATACTATGAGAGCTGGTCACAGGGATGCGTTCAAATGTAGTCAGTAATTTGAGGAAATGGCGAACGCAGATAAAGTTGAGCTGAAAATCCTCCAGCATCATTGAAGTCTCCGGTTTGAGAACATTTTGGTTTCGCAGTTACGTACAAGGATGAAGGACAAAGACAGGTGGACCGAACCAAAGCTGTTTGTCGGCATTGTTCAACTAACATTGGTTACGCGGCTGGCAATACATCACACTCATTTGAAAAGGCATCACCCGAATGTGAATATCACCGGTACCAAAAGAAAAAAGACTGAAGTGCAAACCCAACTCCCACTAACATTTAAGCCTCCACCACTCGCAGAAAGTTCAGACCGAGCCAAAGCTATTACAAACGCCAAATATACTTATGTTGCCATGTTAGCAAAGCGCTACCTCGCTGTGTCTGCTACCTCTGTCCCTAGAGAGGGTGTTCTCCACAGCAGGAGACATTGTTAGTGCCAGCAGATCTGCCCTTTCAGCAAGCAATGTGGACAAGTACATGTTTCTTTAAACAACATGAAAATACAATGACAAGCAAGTCCTAATGTCAAACTGGCTGCTTAGGTGCTAGTACAGTAGGCTACAGTTCAAATACAGATTATTTCAGTTCATCGAAATGCTGCACCTTAATGTTTATTTTACTATATTTTGTATTTATTTGAATACATTAGTCACAGTTTAATAATAATTTAAAAAAAATATTTAATGTTTTGTGATAATTTTTTCTGCTGTACCGAAAACGTACCGAACCGAACCGTGACCTAAAAACTGAGGTACGTACCGAACTGAGATGTTTGTGAACCGTTACACCCCTACAATCAATGTTAACTTGGAAAGCCACAATATTAATATTTTAACTCAATCACATAGGTGATATTATTGTGGCACATCAGTAAAGCCTTACAAGGTGGCAGGCGTAATTTAATGAATTTTAACTGAACAATAACTGAATGAGTTTGTCTCACTCTTAGACCAGCAGGGGTACCAATCTATGCAGACTGCTGCAATAAGTATATTAATTAACTGTCTCATCGATGTTTGTCTGAATGAATATGATACTATTAACAATCATATTATTCCTATCAGCTGTCAATCACTGTTAATAAATAATAATAATAATAATAGATTTAATTTGTTAGCGTTTTTACAGGTGCTCAAAGTCGCTTTACAGATATAGTGAAGAACTGTTATGATTATTGAATAAACTATATTTTTTGGAGGAGTTAATGATGAATGTTCATCAAGATGCTTGCTCACCCTCCTTCAAATTTGAAAAACAAGTAATTATATCATTATTGATATACAGTTACAACCTGGACTTTACATCAGAAAGAACAAACATTAAAGAAGTGACTAACTGCATCAGTTAGGCTTAAAAAACGTGTATTCAGCTAAAACATCGCTGCAGCAGTTATTATCCAGTGGAAGGTCCTTACCTACTGGCCTAGTTCAATCAAAGTGGTTACTTTCTGTTGGCTGGGCAGTGTAGTTTTACACACCGTCTGATTTTACTTTCTCAGGACTTAAAACTGTTTTTTGGGGCAGACCCCCTCAAAGAAAAAAATATATACACGCATACAAGGTCATCATCTTAACAGTTTGTTATTCTCATCGAGTCATCCGTGAGCAGAGCAACAAGTTGGCATGTCTATTACAGCTGAATGCGGCGATTACTATTTTGTTCAGCAAAACGCCTCACAAATTTATTAAGATCAACAGCTGTAGTGCGTTTTGATTCAATGCTGAGTACAGCCAAACTTGACATTCTCTTCTCTGTCATTGTAGACCGCAACTACCTCATTCCTTCAGTGCTTGGGTCCGAAAGGCTTCTCGTTTTGCGCCGTCCCCACCTTCAAGTGAATTCGCCACCAATCATATTTCCACTCTCGCGCCAGGACCGGGGGAGGGGTTACATGACGTGCATATTGTGCTGTATTCACTTGCACTCGGACATTAGAGACTTTCTCTCATAAATGTCCGATGAGCCACAACTTTTCTTTCAAAACAAAGATGCCAACTGGGGTGGCAGCTGGGGTGGCAAGGCTATTGTTTAGGGTGGCAGTTACCACCCCATGCCACCCCGGTAGATCCGCCCCTGCTTGGTGCAGAGTCCTGCACGAGTCTGATTTTCAAGACCCGCTCCCGCCCCGCACCCGCGACGTGCAATACCGAACCCGCCCCGCTACCCGCACATATTGCCAATTAGTTCCGCAACCCGACCCGACCCGTCGGCACAAGATCTGCAACCCGACCCAAACCTGCATATATATGAGCAGTGAAAACGTGCAAATTATTAACACACGCAGTTGCATATTTGTCTCAAAAAGCGTGGGATGTTGGTTCTTTTCTCCATCTAGGAACCAAAAGCCTCCCAGACGTTGGATTTCGCTCTTGAGGAAGTGTTATTGAAAATGCTGTATTCTCCGCTAGAGAGCTTCACCTCAGCCATTTCGAATGTGGCGCGCTCAGCAGCAGATTGATGCGCTGCAGAGGTTATGATTATGTGCAGTCCCGCGGGGGAGAGGTCTGAGGATTTAAACATTAAACTAAATGATTATTATTTTAATATATTTATTATGCAACACCCGCGACCCGACCCGCATCATCTTTGTTTTACCCAGAACCGAATCCGGAAAAAAGCTTTTGAAAAAATACCACCCGCTAATCACTTTTTTTGCGGGTCACCCGTCGGGTACCCGATAAGTTTTTATGCGCGGGTACCCGACCCGATGCAGGACTCTGCCTTGGTGGCTTTCCATTACGAGGATAATTTTGAATATATTAATGAGTTACTTCAGGAAAAACTGCACAGCTCCCTATTATGGTAGCAAAGTGAAAAATGTAATGAAAAATAAACATCAATTATCATGACATTCACAATGATACAATTTTTGTATGTATCCTTTATTCAAGCATGTGTGGCAAATCTCATTTAAAATATCATTGTTTTGTTTTTCACTAACATTGATGGTCACTAGGGAATATGTTGTCCATCTTTAATGCAAGAAACAAAAGTCTTGTAAAAATATAAGGGAGTTTGATTTCAGTATGTTTAAGTTTTGAGCATATTTCTTATCAGACTAACATTGTGAATCACAATTAATTTGGCCATGATGGTTGCTAAATTACATTTTTAGATGGTCCCATGCCTAGTGTATGGATTTGTGTTTACATGAATCAAATGGATTAATCTAATGGATGATGATGATATAAGAAGTAGCACAACACTGTTCTTAAATCATCCCTGTCCTGTGTTTCCTCTCTCGTAGCTGAGTATGGTGCGCAGTATGCTGTCCTGGAGCCCCAGCGAGCGTCCCGAGGCAGCAGAGATCACAGGGACCCCCCTCTTCCAGGAGCTGGAGCTGCCATGGCGGGTGGTGGTGAGGCAGCGCTCCCGCACCTACAGCGCCTCGTCCATGGGCCGGCCGTCACGGCAGACATCGTCTACCTGAAAGCCCCAAAATAAAAAACCGCAATATGTAAACCCTCTGTCCCACGATCTCCATGTTCCCCTGCTGGTCTGCAGCCCCTCTGCAATCACACACTGCCTCAGACTTTATAGCCGAGTTTGACGAGTAAATGTGCAGGACTTTATATTTTTGTGCCCTGCACAGTAACTCTCCTTGGCACACTCACATGCAGTTACATATTCACACACCATTATGCTGCCCACGTTCCCAATTGTAATCACACTTGCAAGTGAAATATCTTTTTTAAAAGGAGCAGCCGTTCTTTAATGTTCTCGACCAGACTTGGCTCAAGCGGCACAGGCAAATAATTCTGAGTGGTTATTTTAAATGGCATTAAGTACCAGTATAGACGCAGCTTATAACCACAGAACATTAGAGCTAATTGGTTTTGAGATGTTTACCTGTTAAGCAAGCGGCATTTTCCTCACTCTGACTTCACAAACTCAATCATCTGGTACTCTGACATTATTTTGGATATCACTTGTTACCGGTCTGGCCCTGACGTGCCGCTTGCTCCCAACATTCAGCCAGTGTTCACTCACCCACGCTACACCTCAGGTATCAAAACCAAGAGGACACTCCAGAGGGGCCTTCGATGCTTGATCATCATCTGCCAGTGAGCAGCGCTGATCACTGGTGCGAGCACTATCTGGTGTTCTGACACCCTAAATGCCTGATATGGGAGACCAAAAAAAGACCGTCTTCTTTTTCCTATGTGTTTTTTTTAATCGAAAGAAGGTGATGTAGAGAAGAGTTTATGAATCCGGGTCATCAGATATGGTTTGCCTTTAGAATGAATGCTGAACCTCCTGTCTCTTTCCTGCATGTTCCTGATCGCACAGTGAAGGCGTGAGTTTGTTATCTTAAAGCCAGTACTTGGAAGCAGTTTTTTCTGTGTGTAAATTTACACAATGACTCTGAGGTGCTCAATCATTTTACAACACCTCGTCTTTGTACATATGAAGAAAAATCTGTTTATATCCTGTTCTTTCTTAAAACAGACGATACGTTTGATTAATCCTGTACATATTGTAAGGCTTGTAAATGGCTTTTTTCATGAGGCTACTGTAAGATAGTGTGATATACTGTGAGAGGGGGAGCAAAGAGGAGACGATCTCTGCCATTAATGGATAGCTGAATGTTATAGTGTGACCTCCAGAGACAGATAATGATGATGACGGTGGTCACCTCTACTCGCTATTTGAAATTATTCTCAGTGTTTGTCTTCATGTGTGTGGGGTCCCAAGTGGAAGGGGTTCACCCTGCTTTTAGCACCACAGTAGAGCCTGCAGGACCAGAGTGCCATTTGAAAGACAGTAAAGTGTACTTTTCAGTAACTAATAACTCACCTCACATGTTTGGGATTTGTGCTACTGTGCTCCAACCCCGTCCAGCTGGTGTTCCCGGTGAAGCACGACAAATACTGAGGTGTGCAGCCTTCCCATGATGAGGAAATCAGCATTTAGTCACAAACATGAAACTGTTTAATCCCCTTTACGTTGTCTCCTGGGGACCTGGACCTGATGTTGGTCATGTGATCCACACTAGCATTGTTTTATGTACATAACAAGTGCTGGGAGAGTCACATGACCTGTTTGTAACTTCACACACAAACTGCTAATTGTTATGTGCTTTCAATGATTGTACTTTTCTATGGATCTTCTCTTCTTTCGACTTTTTTATTTTAATAAGCGCAGTTCTTTTGATTATTCTGCAGGGTTTTGATTACTGTAAAGTCTTGACTGTGTTTGATACAGGAAGTCAAACTGAGGTTTGTTCATCCATCCATTCAGCCAATTGAAGATGAGTCATTTATTGTTGTTATATCTCTCCTTAAGGTTTAAATGCAGACTGTTCTCCCACAGTGATAAGGGTGGAAACTCCAGGGAAACTGGGAGGACAATTTCCATAACGGCATGTCCTCAAGTGAGAGGGGGAAGTGTGAAAACTCCTGCCACAAATTTAGACGAAATTTGCTCTTTGAACAACAGAATGTACTGTTACTTAAGTGTTGAGAATGTAGCACCTTTCGTTGAGTGTTTGTTATTTTAAAGATATTCATGCATCCATGATAAATTATTTTCTCCCACAAAAAAGGCTAAAAGGATCTTGGAAATGTTTTGTTTCCGTGAATAGAGGATTCATAATTTGAAGTTATATATATATATATATATATATGGATTTCCAACAGCAAAGAAGGAACCTTTCAAAGCTGTTAATGGCAAAACTTAATAAATAACATTATTAACACAAGTCAAGAATTGGAGTTAATAGAGATGTCCTTCTTTTCACTCAAACCAAGAAAACGTGATTATACTGTAGATTTTTCATTTTCATGCTTTGTTGAATTGTGTTTATCCTCCTTCCACTCCTGCCGTCCAGGTAGTTTTCAGGACCGTTTAATTGAAAGATATCCAACCCTTCCTTTGTCTCTCTGATGCCTCCGTCTGGATCTGTAGTTTTCTGTGCACAAACCCCATTCTTTTTTCATGTTAAATTGTAAATATGTTTATTTGCGTTATTTATGTTCTGACCGTGATCAATCCTTTTCGGGTTGGTGTTATTATGAATGCGCTTCATGCGATGGAGCGCGTTGGAATATGATGACTTCTTACAAGTCTAAATTTAATAAACTGTTCTATACCATTTTACAGTTTGGTGTCCTTGGTGTGCAGTCTGTGGGTTGGAGGTGGGCAGTTACATCATCATGACATGTATCACCTAAACCTCATAAGGCAAACAAAAACACTTAAAACTTTCATGAAACAGAAAAACATCTTTCTTTATCATCAGTCCAATGAATAATTCACATTGGTTTAGTGAGACTTTAAATGGTTGTATCAGTGGTTTATTCCACAATCACACAACCTGAATCATATTCAACAAACACTGAGTCAAGAAATTAGCAAAACATTCTCAATGATATAATGATAAATAACAGCATTTTTTATACTTGTTTTATGACGCAACAAACATGTTAATATTTATTCAAGAATTAAATGTTATGCTATGCAAATAGCATCCACAAAAAAGTCTTCTTCCTATTGAACATTGTAACTAAGCAAGTCCTCGGTATGTAACACAAAATACATGATCTTTAAAATATATTATAATAAAAGGAGTCAGAAAATAATAAAGTTAAACATGAACTTTAACTTTCTGTACTGTTAGTATTATTTTTGTGAGGGTTAATATATATGTAAACATTTAATTATACCAGCAAATATTTAGGTTTTGGAGGGACTTCACTTTCTGTATACAAAATGTGTATATTTTATAAATACCTCAACATCTACTGTAAATATAAAAAGGCAAATTAACTTGGTTAAGAATATGGACACACAAAAAACAGTATCTTGATCGGTCTTTACAGAAACCTTTACCTAGGTTTGTTTATTATTTAACAATGAATTACCCAACGAAAATATTAAAAAATAAAGTAAAAAAAAGGAATTGCTTTCTGATTTTCAAATTATAAGTTTACTTTTTATTTAACAATGAATGCACAAAGATGAAGGCAAGTTGAACACAGCAATACATACCCTTGTGTCTGAGTCATAGGTCTGAGTAGTGCAAGATAATACTACTACTAATAATAATACAATAATAATAACACAATATTTCAATATCAAATACAAAATAACATACTCGAACGTGCAAACAAATAAAAGTCAACAGGGAAGTAAAACAATACGTACGAATAACTAGTCTTCAATGTATTAACGTTTAAAGTCTGGCGCGCGCCGGGTGCCTCCCCCCGGTTGCGCATTTCCGTTACTACAACGTCACTTCTGGATGTCAATATGCGGCTTGGTGCGGCGCTGGGTAACGGCGGAACCTCTGGGAAGATGTAAACCAAGTAACCGGAGAAGACCAGCCTCAACGAACACAACTACCGTTATCCCCTTGGAAACCGTCCCTTAAGAACCACACCGACCGGCTGCGCGTTTAGTCGCTATCCCCCGAAGCACCGGAGCTCTCTCCTCAAAGCAGCCATCTTTTGTGGGAGAATGTACGGGGCGACGCGGCGGGCCTGCTCGGGCCGGACTCTGCTGATGCTGACAACCGTTCTCCTGCTCTCCGTTACCGGGCTGCTGTCCGGGCTGCCCAGCTCCACCGAGGCGAAGGAATGCGACAAACCGTGCATGAACGGGCAGTGCAACACCGCTACTGGAAAATGTGTGTGCTTCCCCGGCTGGGTAGGGGACCAATGCCAGCACTGCGGAGGGAGATTCAGGTACAGTGAGCCCCATAACGTTGCTTTTATCACCGAGACAACCGGCTGTGCATGTCTGCTGTGCTTTATGCAAAATGTGAGCGAGTGCAAACACAAGAACTGAAGAGTGGTGGTGCACACCTGAGACATTCAACGACTGCTGCTGCTGCTACTACCACCACTACTAGGCTAATACCACTAATACTCTAAGGCTTTGTTGTCATGTCCAATGCTTACAGTGAAGTTTGGTTAGTTTTGGAAATAAATGCAACATACTATACTTAACGAAATGAACTGGAGGGAGATTCAGGTACAGTGGATGTCTGCTTTGTGCAAAATGTTAGCAAGTGCAGCCACACTAATTGTAGTGCACACCTGAGACATTGAAATACTGCTGCTACTACTACTACTACTACTAGTATTACTACTACTACTACTACTACTTATACTACTACCACTACTAGGCTGCTACTACTACTAATATTACCAGCAGTTCAAATAGGTGAAATGCTAGCCTTCTTAAGCAATGCTACTTTTGATGCCAGTGATATGAATGTAATCTTCATTAGTGTCCACACATTGGCATTTAGTCATTTAGTCATTTAGTCATTTAGTCATTTAGTCATTTAGTCAGCCACATGTATGGCATTTAAACCAAAAGTGACATCAACAATGAACATGAAACAGAAAAGCTGTAACCACAGAACGTTTGGCATTTTTATAACAAAGAAAAACAAATCACTTGGGCATTAATCTGCAATCATGCGGTGCACTCTAACTCTTTATTTCTCTTACAACACAGACAGATATGTATTTCCAATGCAGGCGTGCCAGAACACAGACATGCTAGCTCATCACAAAACTGTTGCAA